AAAGCCTCCCATAGTATTGGCGAGGATTGGATCCGAAGAGAGTTGAGTCCACACCAGAGACCCGGCGCTCACGTCTACAACACTTTTGTAGAGAATATTCTTCGATACCATGAAAAGTATGTTTTGGTCACCCGTTATGAACACAATGGCTGTAATTGTCTGAATGGAGGGATTGTTGAACGCAAAGTCATTGTGTAATCCTTTAAACTTCAGACCCCACGGGATGTCAACGCCACTCATCACAACTGAAAACATGCCATCAGTTAAGCGATAGGTTTTGTACCGATTCTGGAAGAATACAAACGACAGCCCATTATATGACTCGCATTTCACATCATTTGCCCGACAATTGAGTTTCAGGACAAACCCCGCCCTCAGAAACGGTAGACCTGTTTATAGAGATTTAGGGATCAATTGAAGTGATATATTGTTTGTGTTGTGCTATACCGGGGAAGACGTCCTCAACGGCAGTACTTTTGCCGATTTGTTTCACTTTATTGTGTTTGAGTCGAAAGCGCCACAGAATCTGTTGCTGAAGATAATTGTCTTCTTTCCAACTGTAGGCGAAGACAATGTCCTCGTAATTGAACGCTCCGTTGAGTTGTATTTTGCGTTTATTACAGAACTGTTCCCCAGATTTGCCATCACTTCCATCACCACTACTGTTATGACTATCGCATCCAATCAGTGACACAAACACTGACCACAATATAACTGTTAATCGCATTCCTAATGAGATTTTAGTGTACAATAAATTATTGGTTCATTGAAACGGATTTAGTATTTCTTTTGCATGAAATATAATTTTCAAAAAGTAATTCAATAATTACTTTAAACGTGACATTAATTACTAATTAATAATTATTAAATTTTCTTCGAAGTTATTGCAAGTCTTGGCACAACTAATTGGCGTATAATTAGTGCTAAATATATACACAATAATCACTATATTCTGTAAATACATATCACTGTATATTTTTGGTGCAAATTTTTTATTTGAATGTCAATTGAATTAATAGTGTGTTTAGATTTATATCGTTATAACAGAGAATCCATTAATAAAATTAATTTATGTATAGCTTTACAAATGTGTGCTAAAAGTTTGATTACTTTTTATGCTAATTAATAAGTTTTTAATTAAATTAAGTGAGAATTCATATTATATAGCAATTATGTATTTAGAAAAGTATTGAAATCATTGTTGAGACCAATACTTGTAATGTGCGGACAATTCTTCTTCAGTGTGTCCTCAACTGTCGTCTCGTCGATGCCATCAGAGAAATAGGCTCTCAATTGAATGCAACGGATTTGTGTCAGTCTTGACAACGCATTCAACACATCGTCGGTTACGACCACTCGACTGAGTCTCAGATCCAGAAGTTGTGGCCAATTGTGGTCAATATTAGCGAAGAATGAGTCACTGACTTGAGATGTTGGGCACCGGAAGTCCACTTCCAAATGTGTCAATCGTTTCAATGCATTCAATGAATCGCTTGTTATGGCAGACAACTGATCCATACGTCCGTCACTCACTATTTTCAATCGCTTTAGTTGTTTGAAGTTTGCGTTAATTGTTTGCAATATTTCTTTCATCACTTCCAACGACGAAAGCATTTCAATCGATAGACTCTTGAGTTGCGGACATTTGGGACCAATTTGTGTCAATAATTGCGGATAATATGTGTCGTTATATTTGTATACTTTCAATGCAATCAATGCCCGCATTCGCGACAATCCATCCGATAGTTTGTTAACCATATTATCGTCGATTTGAACGTAAAGTTTGAATTCAATTGTCTTAATATTGTGGCTATAATTGCGAGCAAACGATTCAAACGCATCCAAATCGGTGTCAATTGGCTTATCATCGGATCCATAGAAATATAAGCGAAGACTATTGAGTCGTTTGTAATGCAAACCATTTTCAGCACTCAATACGAGCCATATTTTCGACGACTCGTCCATTGATGTCCACATTTCGGTCAAATTAACGCACATTTCATAGCATTTATCCATCAATTCATTGCACATATCGTTGTCTTTCGGAAACAATAAGATTGTCTTCAATTGTTTGCCAAACTTTGCCAAAAAGTCATCAATAATTTGGTGGCAATTGTTGGACACATAGACTCTAATGTCTGTCAAATGATTGCAATAATTGATAAGACATTCAATGAATTCATTGGACAAATACAAGTCGTCGTCTTCGCAATAAACACGTGTAATGTTTGGACACTTTGTAAGTATTGTCTTAAATCTCTTCAAACTCTTCCTCGACTTCTTGTCGATCTTAAACACCGATTGACTCTTGAATATCACTCTTTGCCACTGTTTTGAGACACTTTCCAAACGAAACCGGTCTTTGAATGACAGATAAGACAACAACTCTTCGCACAAATCGTCACCAAATCTATCCAAAGAGTCTTTACTGTAGTTTTGAGACATTGTTTGACACAAATATAACTGAAAGTGAATTCAAACTGAATTCAAAATGCAATGAAATGTCTGAAAACACGTGTTTTGTAGTCAACACTCAATTCAATGAGAGTTTCAGTTATTTTACGTGAATTTCAAGTCATTTGAAAAACTTATTCAATACTTATGTCACGAGTTGTCCACAAATTATACATTCATTAGACAAACAGTTTAATGAATGTGAAAAAAGTTGTACAAAAACTCTGCCCAAAAAAATAGTTGACAACAAAAGGGGGACTTATTTGTGGGCCAAAAGCGGACGTTATTTATGTCACACTAAAGGCATTTCACATGTATTTCTCAAACCATTGAATTCATTGATGAAATCATTGAACAGTCGTCTCATATATCGCTTGAAGTGGTAATCAATCCAATCGTCAAACACTTCATCTAATCATTGAATTGATCCCAAAATGGCGGCCAATAATGGGTACCAAAGGTGTTGCGAGAGGACGACCGCAACCACACCATCGCTGGCCATCGCGTGTGGGAACCGCTGCCCGAAGACCACAATGAAAGACCGCTCCAAAACATACTTTTCATGGTATCGAAGAATATTCTCTACAAAAGTGTTGTAGACGTGAGCGCCGGGTCTCTGGTGTGGACTCAACTCTCTTCGGATCCAATCCTCGCCAATACTATGGGAGGCTTTTTGTCCGAAAGTCATCTCATGTTTAATATCATTGATGCCACGGATCAAGTGCTCATTGGTTACGACCAAAATGGCAAACATTTAGATAAGGTTTGGACTAAATATTCAAAACTTATCTCATATTAATTACTATTGCTTTGCATTCAATACTCGAATAGACTTCGGTTTTAAAGTACTTCGGATGTCGTGACGACACTTCAAATGCGGCCAATAATGGGGCGAATCATAGATCCGATGACTCGCAAGATATGGATGTTTTGAGATCTAATGAAGAACTCGACAAAAACAATAATAAGACGGCTTTAATCATAATTATGGCAATTATTGTGACCGCAGTTATTGTTAACATATTTTCGGCCGTCTTTTGGTTCGCTGTCTTCAGGAATAAGTGGTCTTCGGATCAAAGTCTTGACTCTTAAACATTTGTTCATTAATTTATACACAAATATAATGAAATTTATTTATCAATTAATTCACATTCACTCCAAGTGTTCACTAAATCTGTATAAATAATAAAAACAAATAAAATTCTGGGTTTTGTTTCGTAAAAATCATTTTAATTAAAATAATGAAATGAAATACAAATGAATTAAACATTAACTAAAAATACAAATGCGATTACAATTGTGATAAAAATTGGTGACTATTTGACTGAAATTTATGCTTTTAAATGAAAATTTTAAACAAAAATATTTTTAATTCAAAGACTCGAAGCGATAATCAATTTTGGGATAATTAGTGACAAAACTATTGAAAGCCGTTTCTGTGGTATCATTACTGCCGATGAGATAAAGGCGTCGGATATGTGTCAGTCGTGACAATGCATTCAACCCATCGTCGGTTAGGATCACTTGATTGAGTCTCAGATCCACGAGTTGTGGCAAATTGTGGTCAATATTAGAGAAGAATGTGTCACCGAATGGAAGTGTTGAGAACTCGAAGTCCACTTTCAAATGTGTCAATCGTTTCAATTCATTCAACAAATCGCTGCTTATATGCCATCCATTGTCGGCAATGCCTTTCACTTCCAAACGCTTTAATTGTTTAAAGTTTTCATTAATTATTTGAAACACTTCTGGGATATCAATCAAATTTCTGGTATTCAGCGTTAGAGACATGAGTTGCGGACATTTGAGACCAATTTGTGGCAATAATTGATCCCAACCTTCAAATTCTGGGAAATAGTATTTCAATGCAATCAATGCCGACATTCGTGACAATCCATCCGATAGTCTGTTAACCGCATTAGCGCTCAAATCGCCCATAAAATCTGAATCCAAAACAATTGTCTTTAATTTGTGGCCATAATTATCGGCCAACAAATCAAATGCATTCAAATAATTGTCAATTGAGTTATCATTAAGCGTCGGGAGAAATCGGGCTAAAAATATTTTAATTGTTGCATTTAACGGAAACTGCGAGACTAGTGTTAGTTAAATACCCAACAATAAACCCGATTTTCATTCGGTACTTGAATAACGGAAATTGTTTTATATTAAAACCAATTGATTACAAAATGAAAATCGGGTTTATTGTTGGGTATTTAACTAACACTAGTCTCGCAGTTTCCGTTAAATGCAACAATTAAAATATTTTTAGCCCGATTTCTCCCGACGCTTAGTTATCATTGAAACCATCAATAAATATTTTAATACAATTGAGTCGTTTGTAACGCAACTCATTTCCAGCACTCAATACGAGCCGTATTCGCGACAACTCTTCAAATGTAACTTCAATTTGTGTTAAATTGACACACATTTCAAGCCATCCGTATATCAGATCCAGGGATACATCTAAGACGCAAAAAACCCGAATGTAATCCAATTGTTTGGCAAACTTTGCGAAAAAGGGATCCATTGTTTGGACGCTGTCTTCGGCCGACACAGACATATGAATGGCATTCAAATGATGGCAATATTTAATCACTAATTGAATGAATGAATTGCTGGCAATCAATGAGTGGTAACCTCTGCTGTGAATGTGTGTAATGTTTGGACACTTTGCAAGTATTGTCTCAATTGTGTCCAAATTAAAGCCGTCGTCGATGTCTAACACGGATTGACTCTTGAATATCACTCTTTGCCACTGTTTTGAGACACTTTCCCAACGAAACCGGTCTTTGAATGACAGATAAGACAACAACTCTTCGCACAAATCGTCACCAAATCTATCGAAAGAGTCTTTACTGTAGTTTTGAGCCATTATTTGACACAAATATAACTGAAACTCAATTCAAAGTGAATTAACAGTAAATTAAATGCAAATCAAAACTCGTGTCAATAATTGATATGAATTTAAACACTGAATAAATCACGCGTTGGTATTGTTGTCCTCTCACCACATGTTTGGCCAACTATTGGTCACTATTTTGGGATCAAATCAGTGATCGCATGAAGTGTTTGACGATTTCATTGATCACCAGTTGAGGCGATAAATGAGAGAAGTTTTCAATGAATTGATTGAATGAGAAATAAAATGTACATTAAATACGTTCACTTGTAATGATTGCATTGATTAACGCAAATAAGTTATAAGTTATAAAACTTTATAAATGATAATTAAGTTTCAAATTGTTATTATCGTTGAAATGTTTCAATTGTTTGAACGCTTTTTTCCTCATTTTAGCGAAACGTTTGGCTTTAAAGACACAAAACGCAAAACTCCACGAAATGGTGAACAAAAGCACTGATAATACGCTGAAAATCACTACAAAGACAATATCGGCAACACTTTTATCGCCAATGAATAAACTGGTTATTAAAGCGCAGAATATAATGAGTGTAACGGATATGGAGTACGAGATGGAGATCTTGAGGTGATCTTTGAGTGAACCGAACCAAAAGGCATTCAATACACCAAACACTGCGCTGCAGATGAA